CTGGTTAATATTTCCGATTTTTGTAATGTCCTTTTACGAGTAGTGACTGGTTTGGCAGGATTTGGTATAGGTCTTAACATAAAGGGAATGCAGTGAGAAGTTGAGTATCCAGGTTTGGGATCCAGTGAAATACTCGCATTTTGTTGAATATTTATTTCAGTTTCTGGCCGCATTGTATCATTTTTCTGAGCATTTGTTGTTGCATCTAGTTCAAAAGCGTAGAAAGATTGAGAACATCCAGGTTCTAGTACAGGTGTGCCTGTAGATCCAACGTCGATACTATTTTTTTCAGGTGTATTAAGAGAGACTACGATTGGCGTAACAAAGGCCTGCAGCTCAGATGGGGGAACTCTGCTCGGAATCAATTCAACTAAGGAATCAATTAGATTTGGAGAAATAAGTTCTTGAAAAAGTGAAGTTGGAGGAGTTGACGAAGTTTCTGCAGAAGGTGCGAGAGTGTCGATATTTTCCAGTGAGTTTGTGCCTTCTGTGTGAATATTCATATTAGAAATGTCTGCGATCAGGGCGGCTGGTTCGTAATCTTCGTCACCAAAAGCATATTTATTAACTGGCCAAATACATCTGGTATTTGGCCATTTGTAAACCCTTTGACTGCATTTAGACTACTGCACTTTTCAAAAATGCCGGTGATAACAGTTTGCCCACATCATATTGATTTATAATGCGTCCTGGGTTTGATTTTTGAAAAACAATTATCTCCCTTTCAAAATATGTTTTTAGTGGGCCGTAAACGGATATATTTATGGGCTGCATTTTATGAGTTGTATGTGGGGCTAAGGATAAAATTACGACGTTATTTTTGCTGGCTCTCGTGGTTGTCCAATAGAAGAAGTAGTTTTTTCTCAGGGGTAGGTCGAACATGTTTCACAAAAAAATGCATCCAATCAAGGAATACCTCACCTGAAGTCCAACCATCTGCAGTACAGGTTCCAGCAGCATTACAACAACCAATTGCCGTCGTTAATTGACCACGTTCTGCACTGGCAATTATGCCCACCTGTTTCTTTCCTCTTATTGATAGCACTTTAGGTGGCTCATTCGTGGTGGTTGATATACCAATCTCATCCATTTTGTATAATCTAGAGGCATCAATATCGTATTTCACAGTCAAAGCTTCAAGATTTTCATAAAATCGTCCAACTTCATGTCTATTGAATCCTTTCGCCCTTGCAACCGATGTTGCTTCTGGATTCCTGAGGGAAATTTGATTGTGACGTGACTAAAATGACGATAGCCAGTCATCTCCAGCTTTTTCGTACTTGTCCCAGTTTTTCGGGTAGCTCAAATTATTTTTCTTAGCGTAGGTGAATCCTGAATTTTCAAACTCGTCTCGAGTCAGGCCAGAAAATACAGAATCCATATCTTTGAGATATGTTATTGATTCTCCAGCTTTGCACAAATTGATAGCCGTTTGCATGACATTTTCATCACACGACCCTTGTTTGTTTTTTTATATATATTCACCATCTGAAACAAATATAGAACATTATGAGATCGTAAGTCAATAATCACAAATTACGGGCAAAGTGCATATTCACTTTGCCCTATCCACTTTGCCCGACTGGGTGATTTTTGAAGTTAACACATTTCATTAAAAAACCTAATGATCCTGACAGTGTTGAATATACTATAAAAACCTAGTTAAATGAGCTAACGAGTCGAAATATGTCTCATGGTCAAGAACTAATAATACTGAAAATGATATCAATGTACTTGACTTGCGAAATTAATCTTTTTTTTACAAAAATTCAAATATTCTCTCGCTCTGATGTTTTCTACGGACTGGCCCAAGATGGCCGAACGTTACAGTGGTGGCGTGTTGAACCACGCACGAATAAGTTAGGAGTAGTGAGGAGTATTCGCTTTGCCTAGTTTATTCACTTTGCCCGACCTTCCCCTATTCCAATGATACTGTCAGATTTTACCATAACCTTCAGGCTACAGGCTCCAGGCTGAAGGCTACAGTTTCCAATTCGTTTAGCTTTTGCTACGTCTATAACGGAGTCTCAAGGCCAAACAATGTCTATTTGAGGTTCAGAAAGTTATTGGACGTAACTGGGAACATTATTGGCCACCTAGATCACCCGACTTGACGCCTTTAGACTTTTTCTTGTGGGGTTACCTGAAACAAAAATTGTACCGAAGTAGCCCATTTACTGACATACAACATCTGGNCACCTATCCCCTTTCACCGTTTCACCGGTTTTAGCGGAAGCTGACCGTTTGGCGGAAGTTGGTCGTGTTCCGCTTGATTAGAGATTTCTATATGTTACGTATCTCTACGCTAGCTCAACTAAATGCTTTGTTGGACCACATATATACGGCTTCTTTGAATTTCCTCCTAAACCTGTGTTCTTCCTTGACGATGATTTCAGCTTGAGCCCACTCGATATTTTTGATTTTTGGTTATTGCTTGTATTTTATTTCATTGTAATTTCAGTTTTTTTTGTTTAATATAATTGTCAATTTTCAGTTAATCTCTTTTTTAATTTTTCATAGATTCTTTCAGGTATTTCAAATCAATTTATATCATATTAGACAATGGAAGTCCGAATTAATGAAACGCAAAAGAAGGATACAAATGAAATAGTTTCTAATTGCATAGAACTGGCCGATACTTGATGATAATGCATATTAGAACTCATCAATACAGTTTATTGCATGATTTTCACTATAAAGGTTTTTAAAAAAACCGCGACATGTGTTCCGCTATAGAATTGCTTTCTCAAAAGTTAATTAATAATGCGGTTTTTGTAGAACCTTTCGTGATGAAAATCATACAATGAACTGTATTGATGAGTTTACAATAGTTTCTGTATTCATACCT